GCACTGCTTCCGCGTGTCCGAGAGCGCCGCCCCCGAGCCGGGTGAGCGCGGGGTGGGGGTCGGGGGCTGGCAGGGCCGCCGCGAGCGCCGGACCAGAGAGGAACAACGTGCATCCTGCAGGTGAGGGAGACGACGCTGTGGACGGAAGCGCCTCCGGCGGCCTGGGCAGAGAGGAGCTGGCGCCGGAGTCCGGTATGTGCCCGTGGCCGCTGCGCAGCCCGCACCCCGCCGCATCCTCTCGCTCCCCTCCTGCCCGGGTTCACACCCAGCTCGCTCTGGCCCAGGCAAGCAGACCTTGAAGGTCTTCGACGGCAACGACGCTGTGCAGCGCAATCACTTCCAAGTCATCACTGCCACCCGCCTGGCCGGGCGCGAGGAGGTGCTGGTAAGAGGGACCCCCAGGGCCGTGGCGGGCCGGGCCAGTAGGGCCCCACTGCTCTACTCCGGCCCTGCCCCGCAGGAGGCGGCGCTGCGGGCCTACTACATCACGGAAGACCCTCGCAACTTCGAGCTGCAGGCGCTGCCCACGTCGGGACAGGCTGGCGGCAGGGAGGCTCCGGGCAAGGCCGGGAGTGGTGGGACTCTGGAGGAGGACGGCGGCAGGGGCCCCGGGTCCCGAGAGGCTGCTCCCGAGGCCTGGGTCATCCGAGCTCTGCCCCGCACCCAGGAGGTGCTGAAGGTCTACCCTGCCTGGCTCAAGTGAGACCCCGCTGGGCCCGGGATCTGCCTGGGGGTCAGAAGGGGGTGGGGCGTGTGGCCTGGACTCCTGAGACTGTCCCCCGCAGGGTGGCTGTGGCCTACGTGTCCATCCGGGTGACGCCGCAGAGCACCGCGAGGGCCGTGGTGCTGGAGGTCCTCCCGCTGCTCGGTCGCCAGGTGCGTATGCTGCGGCAGGCCCTGGTGCGGGCCCCACGCGGTGTTCTGGGGGGTGGTGCTGGTGTAGGCCTGATGCCCGACCCCACCCCCCACAGGCCGAGGGTGCTGAGAGCTTCCAGCTGGTGGAGGTGCTCATGGGCAGCAGGCACGGTGAGTGGTCTGCCCTGGGTGCCCTGGGGTGGTGGGCGCCCGGGGCTGAGGCTGCATTCTCCCCTGCAGTCCAGCGGACGGTGCTGGAGGACGGAGAGCTTCTGCTGCACCGGCTCCAAGACATCCGGCAGGTCAGTGGGCCACTGACCGTCCTGGCCACAGTGCCTCCCTGCCCAGCTCTGGGGCCTATCCGCTTCCTCACAGGTCACCTGTTCCGGGGAGGTGGGGATTTGAGCACAGACCCTGAGCTCTCCGAGGGGTGGGGGGAGGATCCCTCCTCCACCCGGTGCAGTTCAGCCTTGGGTCTCCCCAGGGTCCCTCCTGGATGCGTGTGGAGGGGCCTGGCACTGTGTCCCCCTGCGCTCAGCGCCGCCCCACCCCTGCAGACATCCCTGCGGCAGATGAGCCAGACACGCTTCTACGTGGCCGAGCACAGGGCCGTGGTCCCACACGTCTCCCTGTTCGTTGGTGGCCTGCCTCCCGGCCTGTCCCACCAGGAGTATGGCAGCCTGCTGGACGAGGCTGTGGCCACCAAAGGTGTGACCACCTGGACTGGCCTGGGGCTCCTGGCTCCTGGCCCCCAGGTGCAGGGTGGGAGTCCTTCGGAGCAGGCTGTGGGGGCTGCTGGGCAGGGCCGGGCCCTCCTGCCCTTTCTCCCACGGTCGCTGCCTTTGTCTCACTGGTTCCCCACCCAGTGGGTCTCCTCAGCTCTGGGGCGCAGACTGGGACAACCCCCTGAGGGGCTGCTGGCCGGGTGAGGCACCCGGTCTCTGCTTCTGCTGACTGCAGCCTACCTTACAGCTGGCCTGGTGACCCTGAGCCACGTCTACTCCTCGCAAGGTGAGCCACTGCGCAGAGGCCAGGTTCGGCGGAAGTCGCTCCTGCCGTTACATGGAAGAGCCCCCCTTGCTCCCCTGGTCGTGGCCCCGGTTCAGACCTGACCTTCCTCTCCGGGAGCCTGTGTGAGGGAAACGTGTTTCCGTTATCGTCCCACCGGTGGGCTCGTGTCCTTGTCGTGGACAACTCCAGACCTCCTGGAAGGGGGAGGGCGTGCCACGGGCCACCTGTCTTCGGTGGGCGTCGAACACTTACCAATGTCCTCCATCCTCTGGGGCACAGCCCCCAGCCCCGGGGGCTCGGCCGGTGTGGGAGGGGGTGAGGGCGTGCCTGCTACTTCACTCTGCCTCATGGCGGCCTCACATCTGTCCCCCGTGTCCTGTCCCTGAGTCTGGCTGTCCTTGAAGACTCCCCCAGGGGTGCGGGTTTCACACCACACAGACATCCTGGGTTGGGCTGACCTGTGCTCACAGCCCACCTGCCGCAGGTGCTGTGGTGCTGGACGTGACCTGCTTTGCAGAAGCCGAGCGACTGTACATGCTGGTCAGGGACACAGCTGTGCACGGCCGGCCGCTGACTGCCCTGGTGCTCCCGGAGGTGCTGGTGAGTGGGCGGGCACTGGGGCCTGGCCCGGGCGGCGGCTTCTACAGCCGGTTCATCTAACGCTCAGGTGTCTGCTGCACGTGCCCAAGTCATACAAGTGGGAGACCTGCACGGAGGCCACTGGCCAGGGGACCTCGCGGAATCCCGGCCCTCTGCCCTCGGGTCACTGGGCCTGGCCGGACCCCCCTGCCCAGCAGGCCTCATGATCCCTGCTTGGTGCCTCTGGTCAGGTGGTGCTCCCTGACTCATTGCTGCCTGGAAGAGGAGTGCCAGGCGGCCAGTGCAGGAGAGGGTGGACACTGCCGTGGGCACCACAGCTGAGGCCAGGCAAGGGCCAGAGCCCCGGAGCCTGCCCTGTGTCCTGTGCCTTCCCGCAGCCTCTGGGCCTCGGCCCTGCCAGTCCCAGGGGTACCCCCGAGGTGTCTGTGGCTGCTCTGCCCTGGGCCCCTGACCCTGTCCAGGGAACCAGAATGACAGCAGAGCGAGCGCAGGGTCTGAGACTGGGGTGGCCAGAGGAGGATGCAGCCCCCCGGGGCAGGACCCTAGCGCTGGCCCTTGGGGCGGGGCTCCGGGCCAACACGCAGTTCTCTCTCCTGGCAGCTGCCTGCCCCTGGGGAGCAGGTAAGTGGTGCCTGCAGGCAGCTCTGCGTGGTGGGTCACACATCACCCCAAGTGTGTCCTTGGCCTCGGGCCATGGCCGTTGTGTCCGTGCCTGGCCTGTATGTTTCCTGTCAACCAGCGTCCCCGTCATGGGGGCCCCAGCCCCTGACCTCATCGTGTGGACCCAGTTCCCCTGCCCTGTTGCCATTGTGAGACCCAGTGCCCACCCCTTCCTCACCGTGTGACGACTGCGGTGCCCTCGCCCTCACCACCGTGAGGGGACCAGCCTCACTGTTATCGTTGTGGGAACTCCGGTCTGCACCTCCGTCTTTGCCGTTGTGGAGACCCCAGCTTCCTCCATCCTTGCCTGTGGGGACCCCAGTCCCCTGCCCACTGTCTCCTGGGCACTGTTTTGGGAGCTGGGGGAATGGGCTTCGTCCTAAGCCTGAGGAAAGCTGTGCTCCTGCCCTGGGAAGGGGGCTGCTCCTCTTAGCTGCTACGTAGGCGGCCAGGGGCCCTGGAGCTGTGTCCTCCCTGATTGCCCCAGGTGGCTCCGAGAGGGGCAGGAGAGGTCCCAGGTGGGTTTCCAGCCTGGGCTCATGGCCCATGGACCAGGTGGTGTGTGAGGTCTCAGGATATGTGTCCGGGCGAGGCTCAGGCTGTATGCTCAGCTCCAGGCTGGTCAGCGGCCTCTGGGTGCCCCCTCTGCCTTGGGGGTGCCCCTAGTGCTCAGTGGTTAGCTGGGGATTGCCATGTACCCTGGGCCTTGTGCGTGCCTTGGGCAGTCACTGCTAGGCATGGCAGTGGGGCCAACGCCCGCCCTAACTTGGCCCCGTCTGTCAGCACACCAGGCTGCCGCCAGACTGCCGGCCCCTTCTTGTGTTCGTGAACCCCAAGAGTGGAGGCCTCAAAGGCCGTGACCTGCTCTGCAGTTTCCGGAAGTTGCTGAACCCTCACCAGGTCTTCGAGCTGACCAATGGGGGGCCTCTTCCCGGGTGAGTCTGCTGGGGTCCCCAGTAGGTCCCGGGAGGGGCTTCGTCCACCCACTGACGGGCCTGCGGGAACCCTCAGGGCTGTCCTGGATGGGGGATAAGCTGTAGCCCATTCTGAGGCCAGGTCGCGCCCTCATGCCCCTGCTCGCTGCACACCTGCGTGGCCGCGGTGGGACAGTTCCTCTCTCCCGGCTGCAGGTTCCACGTGTTCTCCCAGGTGCCCTGTTTCCGGGTTCTGGTATGTGGCGGGGATGGCACGGTGGGCTGGGTGCTTGCTGCGCTGGAGGAGATGCGGCCCCGTCTGGCCTGCCCGGAGCCTTCTGTGGCCATCCTGCCCCTGGGCACAGGTGGGGTCAGCCGGCAAGTCAGGGGATGGGGCCTCGGGGCTTATCCCTGCCTGCCCGTGTTAGGTTGAAGCCTGGGGCAGAGGGTCAGCCTGCATCTTGCCCCTGCCCCAGGGAATGACCTTGGCCGGGTCCTCCGCTGGGGGGCAGGCTACAGTGGCGAAGATCCACTCTCCGTGCTGGTGTCGGTGGATGAGGCTGACGCTGTGCTCATGGACCGGTGGACCATCCTGCTGGATGCCCATGAGGCTGGTGGTGCGGAGAACAGCGTGGCAGACGCGGAGCCCCCCAGGGTACCAGTGTTTCTGGGGAAGGGTGTGGCAGTGGTGTGGCCCCCTGCAGGCGACTCTACATGTGCATCCAGGGACTTATCCTCGTCCTACCACACTTGGCATAGGTGCCAGTACCACTTCATTTATGGACAGGGAAGTTGAAGCACAGAGTAGCGATTGCCAGGTGACATACCCAAGGCCGGCTGGCTCAGAGCCTCGCCTGTACCACGCGCCATGCTGCCTTCTCTCAGGAGCTGGCAGTCACTAAGCTGGCAGTCACTGGACAGAAGCAGCTCTGACGACGGCAGTGGAGTTGGGTTGGAGACAAGGAAGGCGGACCCAGCTTAGGGGAAGTGGGGAGCACCTAGTGGGGCCGACTGGGGCCATAGGAGAATTTGCCTTGTTCCCAGATTGTGCAGATGAGTAACTACTGTGGGATTGGCATCGACGCAGAGCTAAGCCTGGACTTCCATCAGGCACGAGAGGAGGAGCCCGGCAAGTTCACGAGCAGGTGCCAGAGGATCGAGGAGCTTGGGACCACTGTAGGCAGAACAGGGGCTGCCCCTTGGTGACAGCGCACCTCCAGAGGCTTTGCCAGCAGGCATAGGACACGGGGGCTGCTTTAGACAGGGCAAGGGCCCCACCTTGAGACGGGAGGCGTCCCCTGCAGGTTCCACAACAAGGGCGTCTACGTGAGGGTCGGGCTGCAGAAGATCAGCCAGTCTCGCAGTCTGCACAAGGAGATCCGGCTGCAGGTGGAGCAGCACGAGGTGGCGCTGCCCAGCATCCAGGGCCTCATCTTCATCAACATTCCCAGGTGCAGTGGCCGGGCCCCAGGGCTCAGCGCCCCGCAGCCTCGGCTCTGGCCTCCGGTTCTGGCCCCTGGCGGACTCTGGGCCCTGTGCGGCCTGCACGCTCACCTGTATGCCCCTCCCTCTTGGCACAGCTGGGGTTCGGGGGCTGACCTGTGGGGTTCTGACAGCGACTCAAGGTTTGAGAAGCCACGCATGGACGACGGGCTGCTGGAGGTGGTGGGGGTGACGGGCGTCATGCACATGGTGAGTGTTGGCAGGCCCGGAGGGCGGGGCCTCGTGTGGCACGGCTGCCCCCTGAGCCCGGCCGGCTCCCCCCCTCCCCCCGCCAGGGCCAGGTCCAGAGCGGGCTGCGTGCCGGCATCCGCATTGCCCAGGGCGCCTACTTCCGCGTCACTCTCCTCAAGGCCACACCTGTGCAGGTTGATGGCGAGCCCTGGGTCCAGGCTCCCGGACACATAATCATCTCGGCCGTGAGCCCAAAGGTACGTGAGTGGTGGAGCGAGGCAAGCGGGGCTGAGGGGTGCGGGTGAGGTCCTGCCATGGTCGGCCCTTCCCTGGCTCCGGGAGGCCAGCCAGCCCTTCGAGAGCACCTGCCTCTCGTGGAGATGAGCGCCCGGGCCCCAGAGGGGCGGGGCTTCCACTGGGCAGCAGCAGGCTTGAGCTGCCCCCACACACCACAACCACAGGACCCCCCCCCTTCCCCTTCTGTGAAGTGGGCTGAGGTGGCACTGGGTGGCCTGCAGGGTCACCCAGTCCTCTGACCTCGCCTGCTCGGGACAGGTTCACATGCTCAGGAAGGCCAAGCAGAAGCCCAGGAAGGCCGGGACTCCCAAGGATGCCTACCCCTGAGGGGGACCCCCAAGTAAAGGAGGCCCAGAGCAGTCTGCGCTGGCCAGGAGCAGCAGCTGAAGGGGATGGGCTTGCCCACACCCCAGGACCCCAAGTAAAGGAAGCCCAGAGCAGTCTGCGCTGGCCAGCAGCAGCTGAAGGGGATGGGCTTGCCCACACCCCCTCTGCACCAGTGACCCTGGCGGGCAGGGCTCCACTGGCCAATCCTCTCGCTTCCTCGGGCCACCATCATAGAGGACAGGCGCTCCTCCCTTAGTGTTCTCTGCCACCTGAGCCCTTCGAGCTGGTGGCACTGGACCTCAGGGGGTCCCCTGGACACTCCTACAGAGCAGCTGGCTCTACGGGCCCTGGATGTGCCCAGCGCAGACATGGGCATCCGCCGCCAGCTCCTCTGGCCTCGTTTCTCCATTGAGGGCTGGGTGGAGTCTACCATTTACTTCCTCTGCTGGCCTCACTGCTTGCCAGCCTGGCTGTGGCCTGAGTGACAGGGCTACAATGCAGAGGGGGTCTGATGAAGTCACATGGGCCTGGCCACCATTCCAAGGATGAGTGTGGTGCCAGGAGGCAGCTGGGGGGGCACCCCCCACGGTGGGGGAGCGAGCCTGAGGGGACCTGAAACAAGCTGCAGCAGCGTGAGGTGAGGAGGAACCAGCTTTAATCGCCAGGGAGAACTGGGCGCTCTCCATCAAGCAGACAGGACTTCAGCGTCCCCACTGAGCCCCAAAGTCCAGACAACCGTGGAGCCACATCTCGGCTGCTAGGAGCTTGGCCAAGCACTCAGTCTGCCTGGGAAATATGAGGCCCCCAGGAGAGGACCCTCGCCCCTCTTTGCTGTCTGTCCCTGGGCTGCTGGTGCCACGGGGGCTTTGCTGTGAGATTTGGCTTAAACCTCAGATGTGGCCCCACCCAGCTGCGGTCCTCGCCTCTGCCAAAATTGCGACAAATGCATGGCAGCGCCCGTTATCATGCCCCGAGCACACGTGTGCATTCCTCATGCCTTGTCTGTGGAGTCGCCAGTCTCTGCTTTGCAGGCCCTGGCCTTGACCGGGGTCTGTGGAACTGTCTTTGAACTGTGGCTAGAGTAAACCTGTCCTACATTTAAGTGTGTCTGTGCCCAGGTGGAGCTGTGTAGCCTGCACTACCTGGACGCTGCCATAATTTATACCTGTGACAAATATAGTCTGGGCACCACTGTCTGCCACTGCCTCGCTTCTCTGTGTCCAAGGGCCAGTGCATGGGGAGGGGTGGTTTGTAGCCTGGCAGCCTCCAGGGAGCTCTGCGTGGGGGTGGGCCAAGGCGGGTCCCATGGAGGACCTGGGTGATAGATGCCCCATGCCCCCCCGGAACCACCCGACTGCCTGAGTGTGGGCCAAGGACAGAGGGAGGCACGTACAACGCCAGAAAGGCAAGTCCCGTGAATCCACAGTATGAAATCCCACCATGGAACCGAGGACCCGGCCGCCCGCTGACACTGAGACCTCAGGCTGGTGGGGGGACCGGTGCTAGCAGGGAGCGGGGAGCAGCGGGGCCCGCACGTCCTCCTCGGCGCCCCGCGCGGGCCGGACGAGGCCCCGCAGCGTCTGCAGGAGGGCCAGGGCCAGGCGCACGAGCAGCCGCAGCAGCAGGAAGGCGGAGGGCACGGC